TTTTTTTTTTTTTTGGTTTTTCTCCGGTACTGGGAACCGAACTCACAACCTTGCGCTTGCCAGGCAGGCGCTTTTGCCGCTGAGCTAAATCCCCAACCTCTTGTTGATAGAACCTCAGTGTCTTTTTGTGCAGTAGCCCACATTTATACAGTATTCTAATTTTTGCTGATCATACTGTATAGTACAGTACTGTAGTTATATATTACAGTACTGCATGTAAGAGTTATGCAAATAAAAGCAAAACCATTAAGTTGGAGCCTCCTTGACCATTTCTTTGTTCTGAACACTGTACATACTATATACAGTTCCTTATTCAGCAACCAATGCATTCAACAGCCTACTCACAGGAACAGGACTCGGTTGTTACACAAGGAATATCTGTATTGCAAATTAGAGGCCAGAGTGCCCAGGTAAGAATACCTAATGATGCCTGTGGATTGGAAGTGAACTTACAATGATACTGAACTTGACTGCCTGATAGCAGACGTCATTCATCTAAGACTGCAGTCATACAAGGTGAGGAGCAAAGTGGAAGAAGAAAGAGATTTGGGTTCAAATCAGCTTTTCCGTTTACTAGTTATGTGGCTTTAAGCAAGTCATGTCTCTCCAAACCCTCAGTATTTGACTCTTTGAAATGAAGACAGGCCTTCCCCGTAGGTGGTTGACAGGATTAACTGTGTATGTGAAGCACTTCAGTTGTCAGTACTTGCTATGCGATGGACCCAATAGAAAGACTTCCTGGTTAAATATGGCCAATGTAAATACTAAGGATAGCAAACTTGCCTTTATACTTGACATTTTTTTCTCCAGTACTGAGATCAAACCCAGGGGCTTCATACTGAACTACATCCCAACCCATTTTTTGTATTTTTTATTTTAAGACAGGATCTTGGTAAGTTGCCCAGGCTGGCCTTAAATTTGTAATCTTTCCAAAATGCTGAGATTATAGCCGTGTGTCCCCACATCCGTATGAAATTTCTTTCTTTAAAGCAGGATAATACCTTTATAGAAGGTAGGGAGAGAAGATGCTTGAGGGTTGTGGTCAGGCTGAAGGCCTGGGGAATACATGGAAATAAACTGTAAAGCCATGGGAAGAAGGGAAGGAGATGGCAATTTGCAGCTGGATTTAGGAAGCTTCCGTAGTGAAGGGAATGAGTCAAAGGTGATTTAGAAACTTCCATCTTGGGAACTGGAAGTGTTGACATTTAGTGAAATTAATCAGGAAAGAAATATTTAAAAATATACTATCCTTAGGTGACAGAGTGGGAGAATCACTTGGTTTTGTTTTGTTGGTTTTTTTTGGTTTTTTTTTTGGTTTTTCTCCGGTACCGGGAACCGAACTCACGACCTTGCGCTTGCCAGGCAGGCGCTTTTGCCGCTGAGCTAAATCCCCAGCCCCTTGGTTTTGATTCTCTGGAGAGAAACAGGTGGATATGTTAACTGTTGGAAAGAGAGTTCTGGAATCCATGCGAGGAGACCAAATTGCCTGAGAAGAGAACCAAGGACAGGGCATTTGGGGACCTCAGTAATTAAGGGTGAATGGAAGGGCTGGGGATTTAGCTCAGTGGCGCAGTGCCTGCCTGGCAAGCGTGAGGTCCTGAGTTCGATTCCTGGTACCCCTTTCCCCCCTCAAAAAAAACAGAACCAGGATGAATGGAGAGGAAGTGGAGGACTCGGGGAAGGGCTTAGGAGAAAGAGGCTCCATAGGTTACAGTGGTGGGTCATAAACTGAGGCTTATAATGTGGTTAGGCCCTATTGCTAGAGTTGGATTTGATTAAGGTCCCACAGTTTGCATTTCTAACAGGTTCTCAGATTAGGCTGATGCTGGTGGTTTAAGAATCACTGAGTTAGAATTCTGTTAGGAGAAATGTGACCCAGGGACAGCTGAAAAGGTTAAAACTGCTACTCTGAGGAGCAGTGGGGTTGGAAAAGCCAGTACCAGGGTTTTAACAGTCCAACTCAGGTCAGAAGCCACTACCTTGCAGTAGGGTCAGTGAGGACATGAAGGAATGTTTTGACCTTTAAGAGCAAGCTTTTTGGGAGCAGGGATGAAGAAGCCACGGATTCATTTCATTCACGGTATGGGCTGGAGTGGAAGGCAGGGATGAAGAGGAAGGAGCATCTTTGTGAGTTTGGAGAGGTTGACCATGGTCTTGAACTCATCTTTCCCATCCCACTGGCCCTGCTTGTACTGCCTGTCTCTGAGGGGTCCTGCATCTTTCCTGACTGCCCGAACCCCGATGTGAGTCATTCTTGAGTCCATCTGTGCCCCTCAACTCCTGGTGGCCTCTAGCTTCACATCCACCTGCTTTTTGCCCTGCTCATTGCTTCCTACCCACTGTGCCTGTCCGTTGGCATCCTTTACCCGGTTCGCTGCAAGGTCCTTAGCTTGTCTCTTTTTTGCATATCTTGCTTATTTCTTCTCCCATAGTGCTTCCAGAGTGCTCTAAAACGCAAAGGTAAGCATTCTGTGTTCTAACTAAAATCTTCCAACAACTGTGTCCACAAGAAACATCTTCTCATGAGCTAACACTCAAAACTCCTCCCCTAAAAAAAAAAAAAAAACCTGTTTTCTTTTGAAAAGATCTTTTATGCTGGCCTTCCTCTCCTGCTGGTCTCCTCTCTCTATCCTATCCTTCTTGACCCCTGACCCTTCTTGGGTCCCTTCACAGTGAATTCCTGTATCTTGGAAAATCTTTCTCCTTCCGGCTTTTTAGAACATTGTAGCCTTTGCGTGGAATGTTCCCCAGCACCTGGCCTTGGTAACTGCTATTTATCCTTGAAGTCTTATCATATCTTGGAAGCTCTTTGTTTCCCCAATTGTGAATGATACGCTCCCTTGCATGAGCATTTATCATAGCGGACACCACTGCCCGCTCTTCTGTGCATGCCACCTGCTCACTGTGCTCTGCCAGGGCGAGAATGTTCGTTCTTATTTTCTCTGTATCCCCACACCTAGCATGGTGCCTGGATCTTAGGAGATATGCCATAAAATGTCATTTATTCCCTGACAAAGCATTATAGATACAAACCCTCCAAGCCCAAATGCCTTGATGTTTAAATGCTTTCTCTAGCTCTAGCTGTGTGTTTCACCCCAGTTTAAGAATGCCATGTCTGTATTTGTAAGGGGAGAGAATGATTCACACACACTGCAAATGTTGATTTTATTGAGAGGCGAGTCTGCTTTTAATATGTAAGTAAAATAGACAATAAAAATAAGTACCTTGAAATAAAATGGCTCTTAGATATCCTCTCTCTTTGCACCACTCACTTTGGAAAGTACTGTTGACTGGAAACTGACTATTCCATTAAGGAAATCTTTTCATATTTGCTCCTCGAAAACAACCATGAGGGGCTGGGGATTTAGCTCAGCGGCACAGCGCCTGCCTGGCAAGCGCAAGGTCGTGAGTTTGATTCCCAGTACTGGAAAACAAAACAAAACAAAACAAAAAAACAAACAAAAAAAAAAGAAAAAGAAAACAACAAGAGCAACACTACCCTGAGCAGCTCCATTGCTCTTGAATTTCCATAGCTAATGAGGCCCCAGGAAAGAAGGCTGACATTTTCCTCAAGGTTTTATTTTAATTTGAAAAATATTGTTCATCCCAAACTGCTGGCAGTTCTTACAAAAACATCCCTTTCCTTCAGGCTGTTGGAAATGCAGGCCTCATTTGAGTCCTCCCATGGGACTTCTAGCACAGCACCCAGGTGACCAATTAGTCCTGTGTCAGAGCCATTGAGACAGTACCTGGAAGAAAGGGCGCCGGCTGACTGCAGCTGAAGCCCAAGCCCCATCTAGGGCCTGGGATGGAAGCCTACACCCCCAGAACCTAGCCTCTGCCTAATCTGAAAGCCGAGAAAGTTCTTCCATCACCCAGAAAGTGCTTTTCCCATCCACCTGGGACCCCTGAACCAGAGCCATTTGGAGGCTGACTTTGGCTGGAACTTGTGTTTCTTGAGTAGTAGTTGCTTTGGTCACCAGCTCTCTGGTCCCTTCCGTAGTCTTCTGGGAGACCCAGCCACTGCTGGTGCTTTTAGCTCCTGTAGATTTGCACCTTCATTTCTCTGTTCTGTCTTCATGTTTCAAGCCTGGGACTTGTTTATAGGCCACAATGCTGTAAGAATTTACAATAGAGAGTTAGAAGAGAACGGCTGGAGTGGGGCAAAGGGTGTAGCTTTTCCTCCTAGCCAAGGCTGGAGATGTCTCTGGCTACTCTTTATCTCAGAATGAGAGGCTATGTTGGGAAGATCTCAGGCCACCCTTCTTTCACTTCTGGTTCCTTCCAGTCCTGTGAAAATGACCTTCTCTGTTTCACACATCATTAGCACTTTGATCTACATTTTCCTAGAATCTCTCTGCATCTCTTGCCTGATGATGAATTCCCGTATGTATCTCAAAATCAAGATTAACCTTTTCAAACCTCAAGAGCTAGCACCTCATCTGCTCTCTTCCTACTCCCTTTATCCCATAAACCCTGTTTTAAAATATCAGCAGATAAATGGAGTCATTGCAGTTAGGAGCTCTTGGTTGAAGCCTTAGATCTGTGTGATGGATCATGTCCTTCAACCTCTGAGACCCTCAGTTTTTTTCATCTGTGGGAGCTTCAGCATCCTCAGGTTCTAAGCTGGAGCATAGCTCTTGATGGGTACATGGCACCTGGAGTCACCAGTGGGAGTGAGCTTAAATAGAAACCGTCCAAGGGAAAGCTTTGTTGAAAGTTCCCAACCCCCATGAGCCCTAGGGCCCTCCTGGGAGGAGCAGTTACTGTACTTTAAATAAAATCCATTGTCTTATATGACTGGCAAGTGGAAAGGCAAGAGTAGGAGGCAGCCGGCACAGGACCTCATGAACTTGGCTTGCAGCCCTGTCTTCTGACTCCTTCCCTGTGTTTCCGGCCAACTCCCAAGTTCATGTTCAGCCAGCAGGCAGCTCTGGGATGTGAGTGGTAAGTAGTACTGGGTTGTAAATGCCACATTCTTCCTAGCATTCACTCATTAAACAAAACCTTTTGGAGTACTTATATGCTAGGCTCTCTACTGGACACAGAGGGCTCATGGCCAGCCAAACAGCCACGGTCTCTGCCCTCAGAGAGCCTAGTCTAGTGGGAAGCATACCAAAGAGGTAATCACTAAATGGTCATCACCTATCATTCTAGGAAGGAGACCGTGTGGGCCATGGTAAGACATTTGAGTTTTATCCTAAGAGGAATGAAAGCCAAGTGCAGAGCTCTGAGCAGATAACATGATCTGATTTATACTTGAAACAAACTGCTCTGGTCACCAGGTAGAGAGACAATGGGAAGGAAACAAGAATAGATGTGCAAAGAATGGCTTCAAGGCTAACGTCCTTCAAGGGGCTGTTGACTAGGAATGGTTGCAAGAGAGAGGAAGAAAAGAAAGCATGAGTTTCAGGCATACTCTGGAGGTAGAAGTAAAGAGGCCCAATGGGTTGGAGTTGCGGGGGGATGAAGAGGAAGGAAATGGGTGACTCTCAGGTTTCTACCCATTCAGGTGGGTGATGGTGCCATGAACCAGAATAGCAGAGATGGGAGTGGAGCAGGTTTAGGAGGAAATCCAATTCTGGAAATATAAATGGCAGTTTGAAGTTTAGAAGTACTTTACACTGTTTAGAGAAAGAATCTCAAGTGAGATGACAGCCCAGAGCAACCCCACAGGATTCCTCCATTTGGAGGTCATAGAGAAGAAGTGATTCAGAGAAACAGGAGAAAAAACCAGAAGAGTGCGGGGTTATGAAGGCCAGGGATGAACACCTCCTCAGGGATGAGGAACTGAGTGTACTGGGGCTGCTGAGAAATCACGGGAGGTAGGACTGCAGCGCATCCACTGGTTCAGCTGCACGGAAGTCATCCGTGGCCTTGTGGCAGCTGCTCTGGTGGGGCTGGGGAGAAGTCAGGCTGGAGAAGGTTTGCAAGTGAGCAGGAGGTGAGGACATGAGACAATGGGTGCAGACCAGCCTTTGGAGAAAGCCGCTCTGAAGAGAAGAGAGAGTGGTGGGTCATTTTTCAGACAGGCAGAAGGAGGAGGAGGAGAGAGAGCGCATGAGTAGAAGAAGCTTCTCTGAGTTAGGCGGAAGAAGGGCCTCCCAGATATTGGGTGACTTTTCTGAGAACCAGGGTCACGTAGTGGATAAGACAGAAAGAGACTGCCAGGTTCAAATCCCCCTCTGTAACCTACTAGTTATGTACCCTTTGGCCAGTTATGGGGAGATACAGCTTGGCTTTGGTGAGACAAACATCCATGGTCTCTGTTCTTGGGGAGCCTACAGTCTAGCAGCAAGAATACGGACCAGACAATCATCAAATGTTCATCAACTATCATGCTAGGAAAGAGAAATGTGGGAAACCTTGGAAACCTATAATAGAAATATCTAGTTTAAATTGAAAAGGGTTAAAAACAAGCTCTAAGAAAATGGCAAGTTTAAGTCTCTGTTTCCTCATCAGCAAAAGGGGATAATAATAATTACCTCAAAGGATTGCTTAGGAAGATTAATAGTTAAAATATACGAAATATTTAACGTTTGTTGTTCTCATTTGAAAAAGGAAGGATGGGATGGATGTGAATGAACACAGGGTTGTAGATTAGTGAAAATGAGGTTATTCTTGTCTGACAGCTTCTATTTTCTCTATGTAGCATAAGGCCTTGGCTGATGTGAGGAGAGGATTAGGGATGGATAGAACTGTATGGGAATTTCCTCAGCATCTTCCTAGTGCAGGTAAAACACAGCTAGCAGGAGAGGGCAGGTCCTCACAGTGGCATGAAAATGGCTCATTTAGGTGCCACAGCCCCTTGGGATTGCAAACAGGCTGTTGGCAGTTCTGGTCCAAAGACCTCTCCTAGCATCAAGGAGGCGGGTTCGGATTGTGACCAGTCCAGCATCCTGAGTCCTCTACTCTGACATGTGTCTTGGGTTTTTCTGCCATTGAAAAGTAGCTTTGTTTCTATGGTTAGAAAGCTCTACTGGCCTTTCCTGATCTTCTTAATAACTGATGCCACAGATCAGCCTCCTTTAACTGGAAGAATTTCTAGGATCTAGGAAAAGTAAAGGAAATACTCCGTTTATACCAGAACATTTGATGTTATGCAATTGTACGTTCAAATTACCTGCAGAACTTTAAAAGAAAAAAACCCCTGCGCTCAGGCTATGCCCAAGATCAGATGAGTTGCAGTCTCTAGGGCTGGAATCCTGAGAGCAGAATTTTAAAATCTTTCCCAGTCACCCCAGTGTACAGAGAACTTGCCTTTGCTTGCACATTTCTGTGCTGCAAATGTCTGTGACGGAGAAACACTTAGCAATTACTTAGGTGCCTTATTTCCACGAGCACCCAATCAGTTGGTTACTTGACTGTTTCCAGATTCTGTCCCTGCTTCTGTGACAAGATCATGAAGATGCCGCATGGTCAGTGAAGACCCTGTGCAGGAAGGAAGGACTGATGGAGTGTGTATTTGGGGTGAGGTGTCAAGGGCAGCACCCCTGCCTCGCAGACCCTCATATACCCTCAAGTCTCTTAATGAAGGCAGGACATCCTACTCAGCAAAAGCAGATGAAACTGCAGAAGGGAACAAATTATTGATTTTCTCATTGTTTTTATTTGTGTGTTTATATCCTTATGATGTACATGAGCTAGTTAGACTTGCTTTTTCATTGGTTTTCGGTGTTTGTTTATGTTAAAGAAACCACTTCATCCAACTGCCAATGAAACAGGACTGGATGATTTTCAAGTGGGCAAAACTACTAATCCATTACTCACTTGGCCAGAGTCCTGGAACTCCTGAGGATTTGCATTGCATGGTAGTTCTAGCTGAGTCAGTCCAACCCATTCAGCCAGGACTCACATGAAAAGGCCTAAAGGCTGGACAGGCTGAGGACAGATCTGGCTCAGTCCCTCACCTTGGGAAATGAGGCCTGATTATGGCCCTATGTTTGTACAAACTCTCTCAGCTACCTGATCTTCATATCTTATTTTTCTCCACTCTTTTTTGGTGGTGCTAGGGATTGAACCTAAGGCCTAGTGTGTGCCAGACTTATTTTGCACAACTAAGACAGAAAGTCAGGAACCTTAATGATTGATGGCCCCTATTCCAGGAGATCTATATTATAATGTAGCGTGAAAGAATTTTTCAAAGCACATTATTACTATCCTCTTTTCAATTTACCTTCAATTATTTTCTGCTGTGCTGCCTATAACAATGTCATTGTCAATACATAGAGCTTTCATGTGCTACTAGGCAGTTTTCTTTAAAATGTAAGTGTATATCAAATCACTTCTACCTATTTTACCCATATATATTTTCTTTCTTTCTTTCTTTCTTTCTTTCTCTCTCTCTCTCTCTTTCTTTCTTTCTTCTTTCTTTCTTTCTTTCTTTCTTTCTTTCTTTCTTTCTTTCTTTCTTTCTTTTTCTTTCTACTCTTTCTTCCTTCCTTCCTTCCTTCCTTCCTTCCTTCCTTTCTTTCTCTTCCTTCCTTCCTTCCTTCCTTCCTTCCTTCCTTCCTTCCTTCCTTCCTTCCTTCCTCCCTCCCTCCCTTCCTTCCTTCTTTCCTTCCTTCCTTCTGGCGCCAAGCAGAAGATACATGAAAGAACCTCACTTCAGGGAAAGGGGTATAGGGTTTAACAGTCTAAAGGAGGACTGCCCAATATAGGAACCATTAACCACAAGAGGAACTAAACATACTCAGAATGTGACTAGTCCAGATTGAAATGTACTGCACATATAAAATACATAATCAGATTGCAAAGACTTAGTTTTTTTTCAAAAAAGTAAAATATCTCGATGAATTTTGTAAGTTGATGCCATGTTGAAATATTTTGGATACCGCCTACCTTATTACAATTAGTTTCACCTGTCACTCCTTTAAAATGCAGCTCTGTGGCAAATGTAAAGCACACATGTGGCCAGCCTTTGTGACTCACACTCTTATTTCTGTTGGGCAGGGCTGGTTGAAGGCAGAACTGTACTGCACTCTTTTTCTTCTGTTGATGATCTAAGGCTCTCACTAAGGCCGTGGACCAGCCGTGCTCCCCTTTACTCTTCAGCCCTCCTCCCGCCTGCTACCTCCCAGAACTCAGTCAAAGAATCGCCTGAGGCCCTATGGGATGCTCACATAGGAGATTTTGTCCACTGAGCCCAGAGTCCGATCAGGACACAGAGAAAAAATAGTACTGAGAAAAGAGGCAGCATCACTCTCACCCAAAGGAAGCCAAACAAAAACGTCTGAAAGGCTCGAGAGTTTCTAATACCAGTCTCCAATTATAAGGAAGTATACAAAGTGCCTATGAATAAACTGTCACCACAAAACTGCCCGGAAGTGAAAGCCAGCCCGTTTGGGTTCTGCCCATTGCTTGTGTTTTGGGGTAACTTCCGGATGGCTATGTTATCGGCTTGAGGGAACAGGGGGACTTTTTCTTGGTGAGAGAACCTCCACAGAAGTTGCTGCCAAAATACTGAGAGTAAATAATTCTGCACTGGTGGGCTAGACACCGTCCTATGGCCCTTCACCTAAACACCAGGCCCCAGGTCACACAGGGAGGCTGCTCCCATCTTACCCAATCGGGACAATGGCCAAGAAGGATATGAAGGAGGAGAGGGCAAAGCAGGTGCCGATGAACTTGTCCATGGTGAGCTGATAGATCTTGTTATACACGGTGGATGTCACCACCCCAGTCAGGGCCAAGCACAGTTGCAGTATGACGAACACCTTTCCTGTGAAGGGAACAGAGGTTAATAAGAAATGTCCTGTCGTCTCTGTCTCCCTGTGCTGCACTGGGGAGTCTCTGGAGAGCCCCAGGGGCCTGCTCCCTCTTCCAAGGACTCTCTTTCAGTTTTCACGCCTCAGTTTGCCAGGAACCCCGCCTCTTCTAGCTGCTTCTTTCCAAAGCCTATGGATGATAAGTGCCTTTCTGCGGCTTTTCAGTGACTGACTTTCTGAGTCTTTCTCACTCTCCTATCTGCCCTGGCTGGAAACCACTACGTTCCGAATGCACTTGAAGGTGCTTCTGGAACTGTCTTGTGGGTCTTCTGCAAATCTGTGCCTCAAGTTTAGCAGCTCTGAAACAGCCCGGGGCAGAAGATCTTAGATTCCTTTCACTTACCGTAAGAGGAGTCCTTGATGAGCTTGGACATGGCTGACCGGATGGTTGTGATGGGGATGAGCGCGAACAGCATGACCATCCGTGCTGTAACAGATCACGCAAGAACACGCTTCACTGTGGCCCATGCTTGAAAAGATATCAGAATAAAGCAAAAGCCTGGTTCCCTTCCAGTCCTTTTCCTCACATTCCCTGGATGTTTGACCTGGAAGAAGTAACCTGTCTGCTGGCAGACAAGTGTCCTCCTCCACCAGATGCTGGCCTGCGGTCAGAGCTGCTCACGTTGGGTACCACTCTGCAAGGGGGCAGGGCACTGCCGACAAGGAGACTGACCGCGACCGGGGTCTGGTCTGTACTGGCAGAATGACATGGTTCCTGCGGAAGGAGAGCTGACGCCACCAAAGTGACGCAAGTTTCCTCTCCTGGCCTCTGAAGGAGAGAAGTACCCGTCCTCACCATACACGAACACCTGGGGGAGACAATCCCGGGTGTTTTGGCAAACTCCTTCTGGAAGTATGTCCCCCGTGACAGCTGCCACACAGCCCTCAAGCCCTATCAATTAGCCAAATGCAGGATGTCAGGGATGGGGAGAGAGGGAGGAGGGAGGGGAGTGGTGGGAAGGAAGGGGAGAGGCGAGCTCTCTCCTTAGCACATAGTCTTCCTAACTGGGAACTGGCCAGAGGTCATAACGCATTTTGTTAGGTGTTTTTGTGAGGTGTGTAACAGCTTTCTGGTAACGTTTTACAGTCGTTCTTTCCAATATGTTAGCTCTTAGCCATGCATGACTATTTAAATTTATTAAAGTGAACTTTAACATTCTATTCTTAGTTGCACTACCACACTTCAAGCACTTACTACCACACGTGGCAAAGTGGCTACTGTATGGGACATTGAGTTACCATCCAGGCCATTTTCGCTCGGTGGAAAGTTCTGCTGGAACACTAGAGTTCTTTGCTTGTGGTTGTCTGATCCTGGTCCCCACATGGAAACTTCATTCTGCTTCCTTGAAGGGATTTATTCCATTGATTGTAGAAGTCATTTGTTGGGAATTTTTATGCATTGTTAAAAAGCCTGTAGTCAGTCCCAAATGATTTCAGATATAGGACTTTTTCAGCTGAATTACTTAATGTTTTATCTCTTTACAATTGGGAGCTGAGTATAGTGGTACAGGCCTATAATCTCAGTGTTCAAGAGGCTGAGGCAGGAGGATTACCATGAGTTCATGGCCAGCCTGAACTACATAATGAGACAGTCTTTAAAAAATGGGGAAGAAACTGGGGTATGCTTGTAATCTGGGCAAATCAGGGGGTGGAGGCGGGATTGCAAATTTGCAGCCAGCCTTGGCAATTTAGCAAGACCTTGTCTCAAAATAAAAATAAAAAGGGCTAGGGACATAGCTCAGTGCTCCTGGGTTCAATGCCCAATACTGAAAAAAACTGGGGAGAACAAACTCAACCTCGTCTATCCTGAAGCCTCCCCTGCAGATTCCAGGTACCACTGACCACACTTCCTGGTCCCCTAGAACCATGGGCACCCAGCTGGTGATATTTCAATCTGCAATGCAGATAACACACAACATAACAGAGTTCAATGCAAGTGCACATAATCCTGTCTTCCTGTGCCTCCTCCCTGGCAGGTTCAACCCCTGGTACTGAGCTAGGAAATCAGGACCACAGTATTCCTGGTGTCCGCCCCATGAGCAGAGGGCCAGCAACGTCCTGCCTCCCCAAGAATGCCGGACTCACCAATGTAGAACATGTATGTCTCTTTCACAAAGGCCAAGAGGAGGGCTCCTGACCCAAAGGAGACCATGCCAATCATGATCATGGTGGTGTCCCGGAAGTAGCGGGAGAAGACCAGGACACCCAGGAAGCTGGTGATGAAGATGGTGTACCCGGAAGCCATACCATAGCCCACCTGCACTTGGTTCCAACTCAGAGGTTCCCTCAGCACAAAAAGGGCCATCACGTCCACGGTGCCGACCACTGCCAGGTCATACATGATGGCACCCACAAAGAGCAGGACGATGATGATTTTTTGGGGCTTTGCTTTTCCCAGAGATGGAGGGTGCCCCGCTACACTCTGCTTATCCAGCTGGTCAGGATCCAGTGTGCGATAGGTACCCACAGTGCCAGATACAGTATCCACGCTGGGGAGCGCCTTGCTGGGCTTGGCCACCGCCTCAGGGACCTTCAGCACTAAGAGGCTGTAGAAGAAGGCAAAAGAGGCAAAGGACACACTGCAGGCCGTCAGCACCAGGCCCTGCGCAGAGTGCCCAGCCATCTTCTTGAAGAGATGTCCCGAGGCCATGCTACCGCAGAACCCTGCCAAGCCCAAGATCAGGTCGAGGAGGATGAGGCGCACGGAGCGGCGGCCCTCAGAGGAGCCCAGAGATCCCAGTGCCATGACTCCGGACCAGTAGGCTGAGAAGCCGCCGCCCAGCCCGTTCAGCGCCGCCGCCCCGTACAGCACCTCCACCGGCCAGTCCAGCAGCACCTTGAGGAGCAGTCCGAGGCGGGACAGCAGGAAGCCCAGCAGCGACACGGCGATGGAGATCTTGCGGTGGTAGCGGTCGCTGAGCCAGCCCAGCCCATAGGCGGACAGCAAGGGCGTCAGGCCCACCACGAGGTTGTAGATGATGTAGAAGTTGGAGATGGCCTTCTGCTGTTGGTCCTCTCGAGCCCCCCGGGGAGACGGGGTGGTGGTGTGGTCGGAGGAGTTCCCGGCCCCGAAGGACGCCTTCAGCACCAGGAGGAGCCCCGCATCATAGAGGGAGGTGGCCATCTGGGTCGAGGCCACCACGGGCTCGATCCAGGTCCTCACCTGGAGGCGAGCCAGGTGGCCCCTCCAGGGGCAGGTGACCTCGTGGCCCATGTGGCCTCTCTAACGGGGGACAGAACGGCTTGCTGGCGGCAGCGACACGGAGATGTTCCCCCCAGTTCGGCTGCTACAGAAAAGGGTCCGGGCTGGGCTCGAGAGCGCCGCGCGTCCTGGTGCGCTCCGGCGACTGGCGAGCGCAGCCCGGGCGCAGAGCGCAGAGCGCGTGTGACACCCGCCAACCCAGCTGTCAGGGACCTCCAGGCCTCCGCCACTCCTTCCCAGGCTACAAAAGACTGTGCTCCGCCCCCGCTCCCGCCCCTGCGGCGGAACTGGGCTGGCGACCGCCCAGAAAAGCACCACGCGGGCGGCGCACAGCGAGTCCGGCTCCCCGCGCCCCCTCCCGCTGGCCGCCGCGTCACGCGGCTCCTGCGAGCGCGGCCGCCTAACGAGAGCCGATTTCCCCGCCGCCGGGCTTGCCGAGGCCTCCCGCGGGGCGCTGGGGCCCTTCCCCGAGGCGCAGGGGGACCCCACCGACGGGGACCTGGGAGCCTTCCGAGTTCTGTCCTGGGAAGGCAGGTTTGGGCGAAGGCGGAATGCCTAGGGTTCTGCTTGGGAGAAGAGCTGGGTGGAAGCGCTGTGTGCTGAGGTTAAGAGCAGCGGGTACCCATGTGCTGTAGAGAGCTGCTCGTGCAGCCTTGAGAGGAGTAAAAACCTCTTCCAAGAGAAAGGCCTCTGGGAAGATGACCTATGTTGATCCGTGGTAGTGGCCCGAAGCCAGCACAGACCCTCTACCTAGGGGGGTCCTGTCTCAAACCCCAGCCCTAGATGTCCCACCAGATGGTAAAGCTGATTTCTTGGCAGAAGTCTGAGCACAGTGGAGAGGGCTGGGTCACCTCCTCTGGAGTTAAAGCCCGGGAATCCATTCTCTGGCGCTGGGCTGCGATCTCCGCTTCCCGGGCAGCCTTGCTTCCTCTTTTGAACACACACTTCCCCAAAGAGAGCCAGGGTGGTGCGACGGTCAAAATGCACCAAGGATCAAGACCGTCACTGGGACCAACCCAGGCACGGAGAATCAAGAAACACCTAACCTCTCTTCCTGTCCCTCCAGCTTCAAGCCTGACACAGCTAGGACAGCATGGTGTGCAGAAATGCAAAGTCACAAATGGGAGACTCAAGCCTGCAGGGAGAATGAAACAAGCTAAATGGATAATGTTTATTTATTTATTTATTTATTTATTTATTTATTTTGGTTTTTCTCCGTTACCGGGAATCGAACTCACGACCTTGCACTTACCAGGCAGGCGCTTTGCCGCTGAGCTAAATCCCCAGCCCCTAAACGGATAATGTATTCATGTGGGGAGTAGGAGCTGGATTCCCAATTTAGTGTAGATATGTATGTGCCTCTTAGGCGGCAGTTTTAGGTGTGCTAGGGTCTCCTCTCCACCCCTCTGTGACACTACCCAGCCCTCTTACCTCCAGACCCGGAGAACTCTGCCTTCTGCAAGGGGAAAGATGCACCCAGTCTTCCCCTTCAGGATAGGCCTGTGGTTCTGGGTCAGCAGCGCCTTTCCTCTTTCTCCTCCTGTCCTTGCATTGGTTTCACCTGTTCTCCCATTCTATTCCTAGGCTATTTTTCTGGAGCTTGCAGCAAACACCCCAACCAGCCTGCTCCCCTGAGCAGCAGAGGCTCCAGAGATGGGTCGATTATGGGGGAGGGTGGATTCTGCGATCAAGTATCATCACAAGATCGAGCTGTGGTTCATCTGCGGTGGTGGCCCCAAGCTGGGCATGGGTCCTCCCCCAGAGGGGCTCCTGCCTCAAATCCTGCCCTAGATGGCCCAGAAAGATCATTTTGGCCACTTGATCAAGGAATCTATGTGGGGGCTTCAGGTAGTGCAGGGCGAACTTGCTTCTCTCTGGGAAGCATATGGTGTCTCTCTTCTTCCCATTTTGTGAAATTTTCAGGGCCTCTGAGAGCTGCATATAAGACCTAGAACAGATCCAGGGGGCACTAGGCCATCAGGATGCTAGCCAGCCCCGGGACCCTCCACGCTTGAGACCTGACTCCTGTAGCCTGAGATGGACTAGACTCAGGGCAGTTGTCTCTCCCAGTTTCAGCTACTCTGGGTTACAGTATTCTTGCTATGTTCCTAATTCCCCTCCATCTCTAAGTGCAGGCCCCAGCTAAGCTAGTCCTCGGCCATCCGCTGTGGCCCAGGCTACTGGCAAGTTGAGTGAGGACCTAGTGTGGGATCTAGTCTCTGGCCCAAGGCTGGCTTTGTTAATGTTAGAAGGTAGAATCAAGTTAGAAGGCAAGATCTTCAGGCCAGGTTTCATCAGGGGAGAGGATTCCCGAGCAGGGAGGAAACTCTGTGTACAAGGAACTTGTCTCACACCCTCGTGACGAAAGGGCAGTAAGAACAGAAGAGAGAAAAAGGAAGGAAGAGGAATAGAAGGGTGGGGAGGAAGTACAACCACCAGGCAGGAGCCCCTGGCCTCAGGATGGCCAGCAGGGATGTTTGAATAATAGCAGTTTTTAGTGGAGACTATTTAATAATTGCCTATCTGAATTTCTTTTTAAATTTTTTTTATTAGTGTATGTTTGCAATACATCATGGTTATGTTCAGTTTGGGTTACTGACATACATGCATATCTCATCTTGATCGTTTTTGCACCTCATATCCTCCCATCCTTCCCTCTCGCTCCTTCCCAGCTCTTTCCACCGCTACCGAGACTACTTGCCCCCCCCTTTTTTTTTTAAGAGCAGAATATATTTATTGAGGGAAAGAAAGCTTCTGTCCAAGAGAGGGACAGAAGGGGGGCCCCAAGTGGGTTACTCAGGACTCTGTCCTTTTTAGGAACTTTTATAGAGCAAAACCAGGCAGTGAGGTGGGTCCAAGGTATGGGAAAATGGACAAAACTATGGTCAGCCAATGAGAATTGTTCAGGTAAAACTGATTAAATTGGGATCAAATGGGGAAGTGAGCCATGTAGCAAGTGGGCCTGAATACAGAACAGGGGCTTTTCCTGTAAGGGGTTGGGTCAGGGACTCTTCAAGGTGATCGCTACCTATTTAGAATGTCAGTACCTGATGTCTGTCCCTAGGGAGGTGTGTGGGTGCTTTTGTTCAATCTTTTGTCTTGAGGTCTGGCCCACAGCAGATACATATTTTATCTTGTCTTTCATGTTGGCTCCTTCAAGGGCCTGGCCCTGTCTGACTGCCTATAATATTTCTAACTCCACTGCCTCTAACATCCCCCATCTGAAGAAGTAACCCAAACTGCAGTGAGGGAGTAACCGGCGATGACCGCTCTGCTTCTTCAGGCTGAAAGGGGTCGTAGCTGTTGATTGGCATCAGAGACACTCTTCAGAGGGTCTATCTAAAGGCCCTTGATAGACACCAGGTGTTTTCATCTTGGTTAGTCATATAGCTTTAAATCTCCATCCAAGGATCTCGGTGGGGAACTCTGAAATGATACAGGAAAATAGAAACTCCTAACCTGATTGATATCTGGGACGAGTTCGTGTTCTCTAAAATTGAAGAATGAGTTTTAGGAACAACGGAGGTTAAGAGCAGAATATATTTATTGAGGGAAAGAAAGCTTCTGTTCAAGAGAGGGACAGAAGGGGGGCCCGAGTGGGTTACTTACTTGCCTGTTATTTTTAACACATCTCTTATTTTTCTTTTTAGATTATTTATATTTTGGGTCTCTCTCTTTTTTTGTTTTTTGGCTTTTTGACAATGTGTTGGGTCTAGTTATGCAGCTCAGGCTGGCCTTGAGCTCACTTTGTAGCCAGACTGGTCTTAAACTCACAAAGATCCTCCTGCCTCAGCCTCCTGAGTGCTGGGAGTACAGGTTTGTGCCACCACACCCAGCCTTGGGTCTCTCATATTAAAGAAACCATGAGACAGTTAATCATCCATGACTGACTTATTTCATTTAGTGTTACGGTCTCAAGATCCATTCATTTCCCTACGAATGGCTCAAATTTATATTTCTTTATTGCTGAGTTTTATATATATGTATGCCACATTGTCTTAATGGACAGATACATCTCAGAAGAAGAAATAGCTAATAAATATATTAAAAATGTTCAGCATCATTGCTCATTAAAGAAATGTAAATCAAACCAACACTGAGATTCTACCTTACCCCACCCAAAATAGCTATTATCAAGGACAAAACAATGATAAATTCTGCTAAAGTTGTGGGGAGAAAAGAACCCCATTACATTATTGGTAGGAAGGCAAATGAGCACAGCTGCGGGGAGACTTCGGACAGCTCACTGCCAGGTGCGTGGGAATCCTTCCTGCAACCTCCCCTCTTCTCAGTTCTCTAGCAAAGTCTGTTCATGCGTGTCTGGAGTAAGTGAGATTCTTTGCTTCTTATTTTGGTAGAAACTGGTGAAAGAGCTGTGACTCATGTCTGGACTGACATAATGCTGAGCAGAAACCATGGGAAAAGAGACCATGAGGGCACCAGTGTCCCAGGAGTTGGCTGAAGCCTGGGACAGGCTTCGGACTGTCCCAGGCTCAGACGCTGGGAAGCAAGGTGTCATCTGATCTAGATCACGAGGGGCAGAGACACTCGTAGCTGATGTGTAGGTGACACCAATGAGGAAAGTGTTGTTCTCTTTGCCGCTAGTATTTTTTTTTGGAGATAGAGTCTTGCTAGGTAGTTCAGCTTGGCCTTGGATTCACTGTGTAACCCAGGCTGGCCTCGAACTCATGGTGATCCTTCTGCCTCAGCCTCCTGTGTGTTAGGATTACAGGAGTGTGCCACCATGCCTGACTTGCTGCTTGTATTTTAGGGGTTGAGATAAAATTTCCCCCCAAACATGAAAATACAATATGCTCTGAAACATAAGTGTATAATAGAACAAAGAAAGATGTGCCAAGAAGGGACAAATCTTTCTTTTTCTTTTGAGACAGTGTCTTACTATGTAGCCCAGCCTGGCCTTGAACTGGAGGCAATCCTCCTGCCTTAGCCACCCGAGTTCTGGGACTACAGGAGTGTGTCACCACACCCAGCCATGTGCTTTTTATTTTTTCCACTGGGAATCAAACTCATGACCTCATGCTTGCCAGGCAGGCACTGTGCTGCTGAGCTATGTCCCCGGCCACCCTGTATGCTTCTTATCATATCACAAATGTGATGCTTCTTAGCAACATCATGTTGAATGAACCAAGGGTAATACAGTCTTATTAAAATAAGATAAACATCAAATAAAGGAGAGGAAATGAAAATGTCTACCACGAGGTCACAGTAATCAG